AATTTAAAATTTTAAAATTCTAAAGCAAGATGTAGGAGGAAGAGGTTGTGGGAGGGGAGGAGGAGGAGGAGAAGGAAGAGTCAGAGAAAAGGAAAGGAAAGAAAGAAGAGGAAGAATAAGAACCCATTAGCCTTAAAGAGATTTCAAGATGGCAGTAGAGTAGATGGAAGCTATGCTCACCTCCTCCCACGAACAAACTGTAATTACAACTAAATTAAAGAAAAATCATCCTCAATCACCAACTGAAGGCTAGCTGAAGAGGAATAAACAAGGATTTACAGAAGAAGCCACATCGAGACTGGTAGGAAGGGCAGAGACGCAAAAAAGGCTGGCTCTGCTCCCACAGGTGGAGGCTGAAGTTCTCTCCACTGTGAAGGATTCCCCTCCGAAGCATGGGGCCTAAACCCCAAGCTGGGCTCACAGCCCAGAGCATCAGAGCTGGGAAGAGGCACTCACATAACATCCAGCTGTGAAAAGCTGCAGGATTTCTGTCTGCCAGGGAGAGACGGAGTCCAGCTGTAGACACAGGCACCCTCTTAAAGGGCCAATGCACAAAATTTGGTTCACAGCCACTCACCCTGGGCTCTAGGGGAGGAAGGGTGGAGTGAACTAGAGTTTTGTGAGGAAAGTGGGGCTTGTGGTTCTGGGAGAAAGCTGAAGGGAAAGCTGCCAGGATCTCTGTGCTGAGTCATTCTTCCATGCCATCTTTCTTGGGTGGAGCACTCCCCTTTGTGTGACATGGGGGGGACGGGGAGAAAGGAGGATGACCAATTGCCCCACCCTCTAGACTGCCTCTCACCCCACACTGTGGAGTTTAGGCCCTGCCTTGAGTCAGCTGCCTTGGCCAGGGTGTAGAGGTCTAGGCAGACTCAGGGGGTGTCAGTGACTGAGTTGTCTGGCTTTGAGGCAGGGACTATTCCCACCACTTTCCCTGTGAACCTGACTGGCACTTCCTTCTCAATGGGAGATCAGTTAAAACCACCCACCCAGCTTCCAGCAGACTCAACCTCCCTGCTTCAGAGGCCCCACCAGCCCCCACGCACACGATTCTTAGTGGCTTCACCCTGCCAAGGTTGGAGCAAAATCTGAGACAGAGTCTTGTGGCTCTGGGGTGAAAACTACACCCCTCCCGGGAGGTGTACTAGCCCCATCCTCCCTACTCTGCCAGAGGCTCTTTCAGTGACTAAGCCCAATAGGCAGCCAGCAGGGGTAGGCAGGCCGTGGTGGGTCTCAGGGTGCCTTTGGACTTGTGCCTACCTGTCCCGGGCCTAGTGCTGAAACAAGCTGGCCTTGGTGTGCAGCTTGGTCCTTTCAGCCTGCACCCAAGCCCAACGGAAGCAACCACAGACTAGATCCCTTGAAACTCCAAACAGGTTGCCGAGGGCCAGGCACATACAGCATCTGACACTGGCTTACACAAGAGTCCCTCCCAAGAGGCCCAGGACCAATACACCCAGTGGCCAGCTTCAGACAACATCAAAGCAGAATCCAATAAGCTTCCCAAACAGCATATCCAATGGGAGATCTTGGCATGATGGTTCCCTTTGCTCCACATCCTCACCAACACGTATTATTTGTTGACTTGATAATAGCCATTCTGACTGGTGTGAGGTAGTATCTCATTATGGTTTTGATTTGCATTTCCCTGATTAGTGATGTTGAGCATCTTTTCATATGTCTGTTGGCCATCTGTATATTCTCTTTGGACAAATGTCTTTTCATGTCCCCTCCCCATTTTTTTATCGTAGTGAATTTTTGTTGTTGTTATTGAGTTGCATGAGATTCTTATATATTTATATCAACTCCTTATCAGACATATCATTTGCAAATAAATTCTCCCAGTCAGTAGTTTGCTTTTTTGTTTTATTGAAGGTTTTGTTTTCTTCACTCAGGGGGTGTCAGGAAGGGCAAAGGACAGCATCTTTTTAGTTTGATGTAGTTCCATTTGCTTAGTTTTTCTTTTGTTTTCCTTGCTCAAGGGGATGTGTTCAAAAGATATTACTCAGACTGATGTCAGCTAGTTTACTTCCTTTGTTTTCTTCTATGAATTTTATGGTTTTAGGCCTTACATCTAAGTTGTTAGCCCATTTTGAGTTTATTTTGTTTATGGTATAAGAATGAGTTTCTTTTCTTTTTTTCTTTTCTTTTCTTTTCTTTTCTTTTCTTTTCTTTTCTTTTCTTTTCTTTTCTTTTCTTTTCTTTTCTTTTCTTTTCTTTCCTTCCTTCCTTCCTTCCTTCCTTCCTTCCTTCCTTCCTTCCTTCCTTTCTTTCTCTCTTTCTTCCTTCCTTTCTTTCTTCTTTTCTTTCTTTCTTCTTTCTTTTTTGCATTATACACTTCTGTCCAGTTTTCCCAACACCACTTGTTTAAAAGACTGTCATTACTTCAGTGTTTAGATTAGTGACCTTTGTCATAGATTGGCTGACCATAAAAGTGAGGACTTATTTCTAGGATTGTTATTCTGTTCCATTGATCTATGTGTCTGTTTTTGTGCTAGTACAACACTATTTTGATCACTATAGGTTTGTAGTATAGTTTGAGATCAGGAAGACTGATACCTCCAACTTTGTTCTTCTTTTTCAATATTGCTTTGGCTATTCAGGAACTTTTATGGTTCCATATAAATTTTGGATTACTTTTGAGAAAAATGACATTGGTATTTTGATAGAAATTGTACTGAATCTATAAATAGTTTTTGGTGATATGGTCATTTTAACAATATTAGTCCTTTTTTATCTAAGAACACAGTATATCCTCCCATTTATTATTTGCATCCTCTTCAATTTTTTCTTCAGTGTCTCATAGTTTTGTAGAGGTCTTTCACCTCCTTGGTTAAGTTTATTCCTATTTTATCCTGTTTGATGAAGTTTTTTTCCCCATTTCTCCTTCTGATTGTTGGTTATAAGTATATTGGAACACCACAGATTTCTATATATTAATTTTGTATCCTGCTTCTTTGCCGAATTTTAAAAAATAGTTTTGTTGATTTTTGGCAAGAAAGGAAGTGAGAGGGATAGAGAAACAGAAACATCAATGAGAGAGAAATATTATCCATTGACTGCTTCCTGCACACCACTACTGGGGATCGTGCCCCAAACCCGGGCATGTGCCCTGATCAGGAATCCAACCGACGACCTCCCTGTTCATTGGTCAGTGCTCAACACTGAGCCACAATGGCTGGGCTTTACCAAATTCTTTTATTAATTCTATTAATTTTTTGATTAAGCCACCTTGTTTTTGGTACTTTGTTGTGGCAGTCCTAGGAAACTAATTCACACACACACACACACATATATATATGATTAATATGCTAAGTGTCTGACCATCTGGGTAATGACATCACGTAGCAATGCCTGGCTTCCTCTCCCTAGTGACTAGCCTCCTTGCAGTTTCTTCAGCCCAGGAACAAGACTTGCTTTATAGCCAGGTGGAAACATTTTACACTTTAACCAAATGTCTGTGAAGCGTTTTCCAGTGCCTCATCTCATTTGATCCTCACGGAAGTCCTGGAGTAGGTAGATAGGAGACTCGGTGGAATCCTATTTTCTTTTCACTAGCCAGAAAACAGTGATCTAGAAAGCTTAGAAACTTGACCCCACTGAAAAGAAGTAAGAAATGATAGACCTGGAAAATGACTTCAGATTTTCTCACTGCACAGAATATAGTCAAACACTGCTGCAGGTTAATATTTTACCCTCTGTTCTCATGAGTGATCTACAATAATAATCTGCTTCATATTGATATTTACTGCTGTGTTGCTGACAATTACCTGAAAGAGAAGTCGGGGTGCTTCACTGGGCTAGAAAAGGTTTAGCTAAATCAGAAAGCAGGCCTAATTAAGCAAGTTTATGCTATATCTATAAAAGGCTAAGTTGACTCACGCATGTGCGATACATATAAAGCTCTCGCTGGCACCAATCGCACGTGTGTGTTTCCATCTGACATGGTCGATCGTGAATTTGCATCCTCTTCAATTTTTCCTATTATAGAGAAAGGGCGAATAGCTATATTAAAATAGTTCTTCTAATTAATTTCCTTTCAATGTGCACCAATTCGTGCACTGGGCCACTAGTACATATATGAAAGCAGAGCTATTTGGGTATGGATGGCAGAGATTCATACGTTTAAAAAAGAAACTATCAGTACTACTCATAAAAAGGACAGCAACTTGAATGAACATCAAGGGAATTATACTGAGTGAAAAAGCCCACCTCTAAAGGTTACAAACTGTATGGTTACATTTATATAACATTCTCCACATGGCAAGATTATAGAGATGGAGAAAAAGATCAGTGGTTGCCAGGGCTCAGGGACAGGGGGAGAGAGGAAGGTGGCTGTGGCTATAAAAGAGTAACAGGAAAGATCCTGGGAGGGGAACACTTCCGTCTTGGCAATGGTGGTTACAGATCTCATCTACCTATCTATTTATCTATCTACTGTGTGTGTGTGTGTGTGTGTGTGTGTGTGTGTGTGTGTTTGACAAAACTGCACAGAACTAAACACACACAAATGAATGCACAGAAAACTGACAAAATTCGAATATGGCTATGATTTGTGTCAGTGTCAATTTCCTCGTTGTGAAACTGTACTAGTTTCCAGTAAACACGGCTCCAACAGGCGTGAACAGGTGGCATGGGCTGCGATTCCCTGCAGGTGACCCGGCCAGCCGCACTGGGGCGACACCTCCGGGGTCACCCACCAATGAGGTTCGTTCCCCCACCATAATTGGATCAGATTGGTGGAGGGAGCGCAGAGCCACTCACCCAGGGAGCACAGAGCCACTGACTAGCCCATGGTCTAGGAATGAAGGGAAACTTGGAAGGTGAAGTAGGAGCGACAGGAGGAGACAAGCTATACAAAGTCAATGACTGGAGCAGAAGTCAGGTGTGAACGCCCACCGGCCGAGTTTACTCAATGACCTTGCTTCCCAATGGCTTTGCCCACTCCCTCTGCGTTGGGACCCGAGACCCACTGTGCTTTTGGACGAGAGGTGAGGAGAGATGGGGGGGCAGGGATCCAGTCCTCCGCAGGGGACGGTCCGGGACTCTGCTCTGCGCGGCTCGGTTGCTCCAGGGACTGCCACGGCCGCTCTAGGACCCCCTGCGGCTGCCGGGGCTTTTTCCAGAGGGGATGCTGAGTCACAGATCTGTCACGCTTCTCACCTCTCCCCAGCCCTCCGGGGGCTAAAGTAAAAGCGAAAGCGAATGCGACTCGCGGGGCGGCTAGTCCCGAGAACTGTGCCCGTTGCCTCCTCCCGGACCCTTGGGCATCTGCAGGTGCCGGCGAGGGCGAGGACGCAGGCGAGACTGAGGCCATGGCCCGCCACCCGCTCCGGGACTGCTGGGCCAGAGAACTCCCCGTGCTGCTGCTACTGCTGCTCCGGCCGCCGCAGACGCGGGGTAGGGAAAGGCGTGCGCCCTTGGGGCGGCGGGAGGAGGCCCGGGAGCCGCAGGGGGACTGCGCTGAGCTCTCCACCTACAGCGGCGGGCAATCGGTGGGGTAGGAAAGGGTGAACCGCCGGCCAGGGAGGGGGCGCGGCACCCGCGTGCGGGGAGCACGTGGAGGGAGCAGTGGCTAGGAGCAGAGCGCCAGTCTCTGCGCCCCGACCCACCCCCAAGGGAGGGAGCTGCGAGGCCAGGCTTTTAATACAACTTCTTCCCGATTTCCAAGGCAAAGGGGGAAACCCGGGGCTTGCAATGGGGTATCCGAGTTGGAGTTTTACAGCAATTCCGAGAAACCATGAGCGCGGTTCTCCTAGCCCCAGAAGGAAAGCTGTACAAATGTTGCAAAGCAAGCAGTCCCCGCAGAGGTCGGGGAAGACGACCCCATCAATACCCTCAGACAAAAGCAAATAACAAGCGTAGGTAGTAGGATCGGCTAGGGGCTGCGTCCCTGAGGAGAGAAAAGGCGTCGGCCAGATTGCACATCTGGGAACCTGGAAACAACTCCAATTCTTAAGCAGCTGGGAACTGTGCCAGGGCGCAGGAGAGTGGGGCAGCATGGAGTAAATGCTCCCAGGCAAAGGCGAAGAAATGAAATTGTTGGTGATGGTGTGGTGTAGGTCGCATAGATGTAATCTCAGCGGAAAGCATAGAATCAGTGACGAATACATTTTTCTCCTGGGAGATAGAGAGGAGGAAGAAGAAATAATAGATGTGTCTGGATTTATCCATGTTGGCTCTTCTTAATCTTTTCAGTCTGGGAGCTCTTTGAGGGGTCTGATGAAAGCTATGTACTCTCTCCCCAGAAAAAAAAATGCATAAATACATATACTTACAAAACTTGCATATGATTTTGGGGTCATGGACCCACTGAAAGGCATCCATGGGCTCCTCGGGGATTAGTAAATCCATAAGATCTCTTACTTCCTTCCCCCTCGTGTGTGTGTTTAAGGCAAGACTCCCAATCATTTACATCCAGTCAGTCAGTCAGACCAGTCTAGCCAGTACTTGATCAGAGCCATCCATCCTGGCTGGGTTGGTGTTAACTCCATAGCTCTGTGGATTCCATGAAGTTTTGTTTTCAGAAGACTATGTTTGGACTTCTCCCATATCTGAGAATGTGAGTTATGTTGGTGATTTGTTCAGGTCCTCCCAACTGGCTGACCAGTGTCCTGCATGCTCCCTGAGGAGATGTAGGAGACAGCCGGTGGCCTGGGGCAACTCGATTGCACAGTGTGAAAGGAAATGCAGCTTTAGTCAGAACCCAGCAAAGATGAGCTGTCAAAGTGCAGAGAGCAAAACTGCAGTCAAGATTTTTAAAGCTCATCAACTACAGCATTGCTCTTTAACCTCACAAGGTTCTTGCTACCATCTGATAACTCCTCATGTTTCTTAGTTTTTCTTAAACAGCTTTACTGAGGGATAATTGACAGATAAACTGCATACATTTAAATTGAACGATCTGATAAATTTAAAGTTAAATGTGTACACTCATGAATCAATCACCACAATCAAGAGAATAAACATAATCATCATTACCAGAAGCTTCTTCATGTCCTTCATACTCCTTACCTCCCAATGGGCTGTCACCCAGGAAAACACCATCTGCTTTCTGTCACTATTAATTTGTTGTATCTTCTAGAATTTTATATAAATGCAACCATAGTATATGCTCTTTCTTGCCTGGATTCTTCCTTTCATTGTAACTACTCTAAGAATCCATCCACACTGTAACTTGTATCAATAGTTCCTTTCTTTTTATTGCTGAGTACTCTTCCATTGCATGGATATCACACAGTTTGTTTACCCATTCACTTGTTACATGGACATTTACATTGTTTTGGTTTGGGGCTATTGCATATAGAGCTGCTATGAACATTCGCATTTAGGTTCTTGTGTGGACATAGGCATTTTTTTCTCTTTAGTAGAGAAAATGACTAGGAGTGGCTGGATCATATGACACATGATGTTTAATTTTTTTTAAAAAACTGACAAACCATTTTTCAAAGTAATTGTACTATTTTGCATTCCCAATAGCAGTATTGTTTTGGTTTGGTCTCTTTTTGTTTTGTTTGTTTATTTGTTTGCTTTTATATATAACTATCCAATTGTTACAGCACCATTTGTTGAAAAGATTATCTCTGCTGAATTGATATTATAACTTTAAAAAAAACACACACACAAAGCATCAGCTGTCCCTTTATGTTTGGATTGCTTGCAGTAGAAAAAACACCAATATACAAATATCAATTATAGCTCTATACATTAGCAATAAGCAATTGGAAAATGAAATTTTTAAAAAATGTATAATTTGCTATAGCATCAAAAAGTGTGAAATACTTAGGGATAAATGTGACAAAAGACTAGAAAAGAAAAAAAAGACTAGAAAAGATCACCTGTACACTGAAACCTAAAAACTATTGCTGAGAGAAATTTAAAGATCTAACAAATGGGGAAATATACCATGTTCATGGAATGGGCAAATCAATATCATTAAGGTGGCAATTCTCCACAAATCAATATTCCAGCAGGCTTTACTGTATAAATTAACAAACTGATTCCAAAATTCACATGAAAATGCAAAAGATAAAAAAAGAGAAAATGCAAAAGATGTAGTATAACCAAAAAAATGAAAAAGAATGGAATTCGAAGAACAACACTTCTAATTTTGAGACTAATTATAAAGTTACAGTAATCAAGACAATGTGGTATTGGTAAAATGGATAAAGAGCTAACAGAGCAGAGGATACCTAATATTTTTTAAGCAGAAGAGATCCAAATTATTAAATTTGTTACTTGGTAATATGATCCTGGTTATCCTATATAATCCTATATCATAAAAGCCTGATATGCAAATTTGTCCCCTTGACCAGGAGTTTGACTGGGATTTCAACCAGGGGGCGGGGCCAGCCAACCAACTGTGGGAAGGGAGACCCCAGCCGCCGGCAGCTGGCAGCCTCTAGGGACCCTATCCATACACAAATGTCATGCACTGGGCCTCTAGTAAAGTATAAAGAGCAGCCCATTTCTTATCCCTAGGTGAGAAAATAATACAGTCTCAGATCTGTTCCTGCTAGTTTACAGACAGCAAGTTGCATCTGTCCTTATTCAAAAGGCCTGATTTGGAGGGAAATTCATCATCTTGGGCAGGTCATTTGTTTAAAGATGAATATCCCTGCTCACTAGTGCTGGTTTGTACAGAGTGTTAGTGCATTGGGGGGTGGTTAGTGTATTGGTGGTTAGTGCATATGGGAGAACATATTCACCAATGATTCATTGATAAGGGGTTAATCCCCAAAATATATAAAGAACTAATACAACTTAATGCCAGGAAGACAAACAATCCAAAAATGGGCAAAGGGCCTGCATAAACACTTCTCCAAAGAGGACATACAGATGGCCAAAAGACATATGAAAAAATAAGCAACATCACTTAATCATCAGAGAGATGTAAATTAAAATGACAATGAGGTATCACCTCACACCTACCAGAAGTGCTAGTGAGAATGTGGAAAAAAGGGAACCCTAGTTGGTGGGAATGCAGATTGGTGCAGCCACTGTGGAAAACAGTATGGAGTTTCCTTAAAAAAATTAAAAATGGAACAGCCTTTTGACTCAGCAATCGCACTTCTGGGTATATATCATAAGAATCCCATAACACCAATCAGAAATAATATATGCACCCTTATGTTCATAGCAGCATTATTTACAATAGCCAAGATCTGGAAACAGCCCAAGTGCCCACAAGTATATGAATAGATATAAAAGCTGCATTACATTTACACAATGGAATACTACACAGAAGGAACTCTTACTCTTTGTGGCAGCATGGATGGACCTGGAAATTATTATGCTAAGCGAATTAAGCCAGTCAGAGAAAGACAAATACCATGTGATCTCACTAATATATGGAATCTAATGAACAAATAAACTGACAAACAAAATAGAATCAGAGGCATGGATACATGGAACAGACAGACAGCTGTCAGAGGGGAGGGGGATGAAGGTGACTAGATAAAGGACAGTGAAGGGATTAGCTAAGAAACATATATGCATAGCCCATGGACACAGACAATAGTTTGGGGAGGGAAAAGGGAGAGATGGTGAGTCAGGGTAGATGTAGGCAAACGGGGAGGCGGAATAGGGGACATTTGTAATAGTGTCAACAATAAAAATTTTTAATTAAAAAAATTTTAACCATTTTTCAGAACTATGGGGGGGTTGCCCAAACCTTTTATTATTTTATTTCAAATCAGTTTTATCTAGTTATTATTGCTTTGTGCTACTACTGATAGCAAAAAAGTGATAAAAACTTAAATGTACAAAAAATATAGGATTTTTTTAAATCAACCTAAATGTTTAACAGTGGAGGACTGCATAAATACAATGGAGTTGCTTTCAAATAGTATGCATCATATGATTCATTTTTACTAAAAGATCTAGAAGTAACTGTATTAAGGAGAGAGATATGGATTGTGTCTGTGTGTTTGTCTGCCTTTTCTCGCTTTTCTATCATATTTTGAATTGTGCTTAGCCAGTTAGCTCAATTGGTTAGAGGATGGTGCTAATATTTTCAATTGTTTTGTAATAAGAAAAGTAAAATAAAACCACAAAATAATTCAATCAAGATCTAGAATTTTGGAGTTTTTATCATTCATTTTAAATTATAGCTGATCTCCTTGTTTGGCAATGTTTTCATGACTTTACATATTTTGCAAATTGCTCAAAATAAATTATTATAAGGTCATTGCATATAACATTTGTGCATACTATACATACATTTTATCATCTTTTACAATTTATTTAAACAATTCTTATTGCCCTGGATAGTGTGGCTCAGTTGGTACACCAAAAGGTGGCGGGCTACATTCCTAATGAGGGCACATACCCAGGCTGTGGGTTCAATCCCCAGTCCAGGCACATACAGGAGGCAACTGATCGATGTTTCTCTCTCACAT